TTTTTTTTAAAAGAATAATAATAAAAAAAAATAAAATAGCAAAAAAAAATAAATAAATAAAAATAAAATAAAATAAAAAAGAAAAGAAAAATGAGAACCTTAATTAATAAAATCAGAAATGTAAAAAGTGACAGCTACAACCACAGAAACAAAGGATTATAAGAAACTAGAGGCCCAGTGCACAGATTCGTGCACTAGTGGGGGGGGGGTCTCTCGTCATGGCCTGCAGGGATCAGGCTGAAACCCGATTGGCCCGGCCCCACTGCACCTGCTGCAGGCTCACGCCCAGTTAGTCCTTATCACCCAGTCAGTCCTGATTGAGAGAGGCTCACATCACTGCAGCAGTGCTCGCCAGCATTGAGCCCTGCATCTGGCACCCATCAGTCAGCTGAATGGCATTGCCACTGTGGGAGCACAATGAACATCAAGGGGCAGCTCCTGCATTGAGCGTCTGTCCCCTGGTGGGCAATGCATGTCATAGTGACCCGTCAACCGGTCGTTCGGTCACTTAGGCTTTTATATACATAGACTAGAGGCCTGTTGCACAAAAAGATCCGTGCAATAGGCCTTCCCTTCCCCTGGCTGCTGGCACCAGTTTTCCTCCGGCACCCGGGACCCAGGCCTTCGCTCCCACAGGAGCCGCCTTCAGTCTTTGCTCCACAGCTTTGCACCTACGTATGCAAATTAACCACCATCTTTGTTGGCGGTTAATTTGCATATCGCTCTGATTAGCCAGTGGTGGGCGTAGCAAAGGTACGGTCAATTTGAATCTTTTTCTATTATTAGATAGGATTACTAGGAATAATTATATGCCAACCAATTGGACAACCAGGCAATGAATAATTTTTTAGAAATATACAACCTTCCAAGACTAAATCAAGAGAAAACAACATCTGAACCTAGCTAGGTAGCTCAATGGCATCTGTATTATTAAAGTGTGGGTTTGAACCCTGTTCAGAGCACATACCTAGATTTCAGGTTTGTCAGGGTGTATGGGAGGCAACAAATTGATGTCTCTCTCGCTCTCTCTCTCTCCCTCTCTTCAGGTGAGGATTAAAAAATAAATCTATAATAATAAAAGTGTAATTTGCTAATTACATCAGACAACCTTTCTGGATGACCACCCAGGACCACACTATGACACCCAATGGTGCCAGGCCAGCTAAGGCGGATGTGATGTGATTGGTTGGGAGCCTAGCCATCAACCCATGATCATCCCGCAGAGGGAACCCGAGGTCCCAGGTGCAGGAGGGAAGCCAGGGGAAGGAAGGCCAACTCATGCATCGGGCCTCTAGTAAGTAAGTAAATAAATAAATAAATAAGTAAATAAAACAATAACTGAACAAATAACTGTTAACAACAAACTAGTCAAAAAACTCCCATCAAATAAATGTCCTATACCACATGGTTTCTCAGATGATTTTTACCAATCTCAGAACTAACACCTTTCATTCTTGAACAATTTCGAGCTATTTTAGTAAATTTCTGCTTTTCCTGAAGTTTTCTTTAGGAACTAAGATTAACACAGGGAAAGTAGTAATGCTTTCTATGGCAATATATTTCAGATAAAACAAAATAGAAACATTTTTTCATTGACCAGATGAAAATGAGAGCTATACACCTAATTTTCTTCCTATTAAAGTCATTTTTTGGCCAGCGGTGTGGCTCAGTGGTTCAGTATTGACCTATGAACCAGGAGGTCACAGTTCGATTCTGGTCAGGTAACATGTCTGGATTTCAGGCAGGATTCCCGGTGTGGGGCATGCAGGAGGAAGCTGACCAATGATTCTCTCTCATCATTAATGCTTCTCTCTCTTTTCTCTATCCCTCCTTCCTTCTCTGAAATCATTTTTCAAATGATTTAAGTAAACTAACATTCTAAAAAAAACATTTCAAAGCCTATCCTGTTTGGCTCAGTGGATAATATCGGCCTGTGGACTGAAGGATTCCGGGTTCAATTCCGGTCAAGGGCACTTACCTTGGTTGCAGCTCCTCCCTCTCCTGGGTCCTGGTCAGGAAGTGTGCAGGAGGCAACCAATCAATGTGTTTCTATCACATTGATATTTCTCTCTGTATTTCCCTCTCTCTAAAAATCAATGAAAAAATATCTTTGGTGAAGATTAAAAAAAATAGAGAATTACCTTCAAAGTGAAATTAGTATAAGACAGTAACTTTATTCTTCATTTAACTATGTGTATCTCATGAACTATTAACTTTGCTTAAATTTTTGAAGTTTTTAATAATTTGTAAGTTACAACAGTGTTAAAGTAAAATTATATGAATGAAACAGATTGTTATAAAAGTAATGTGTATAAAAGTAATATCCTGGAAATAAATACTTACTCTCAATGATTCTTGGAAGGAGGAGGCTTGGTACTGTGCATACTTAGCAATTGTGGTATGAGATCTATTACTTTCACAATGCCAGATTTTCTTCGTTCCAGTGGGGTCCCAGTTTTCATCAGCTGGTTGCAACAACTGTGTCCTCACTTCTACCATGTGTTCATTGTTAGCTTCTACCAATGTTTTGGTAGAGAAAAGTCCAAGATCTTCATAAACAAAAAATTGCATTAATAAATAAATTTGTATTTAGTACAATGAACATTTCAAAAACACTTTTAAAAGAGCGAGGAGCTCCATACATTTCCATTAAGACTGTTTCAATCACTGTGGTACCAAATTTGCATAAAACTCCCTTGAAGCAACAGATCTAGCCATTATGAGAGTAATAAGGGAGTAGAGAATTTATGAGAATCTAATTTTATCTGCATTTTATATTCAAAAGGTTCTTGGTTATCTAACCTAAACCACTAATGCAGCATAATGATACCAAATTAAAAACTAAAAATCCACCATAAATTCATCAATAATTAATATTGACAGCATGTATTAACATTGAGAAAGGGAGAGAACATTAAAATAAAAACTCAAAAATTTAGCGTTTTTAAAAATTAATAGTAGTAAAAGAAAATTCAAACTTTAAAAACAAAAAACCTTACCTAATTTAAGAGCTCCAGCAAGGCCACGTATAACTGTAACAGGGTTTTTGGGATTTGTACAAAATTGATGTAATGGAGGAAAGAAAGCATCACGCTTATTTTCCAACTGTAATATTAAAATGTTTTGTTAAATATAAGAAAAATGACTAAATATTATGCAATTCATTTTCATTTATCAACCAAGCACTTTAACATCTACAGTGTATCTTAACTATTAATGTTGTATTGCTACATATTATTTATCATTAGTGTTTCCACGTAATTAAGACATAATTGCATATAAATTTCCCCTTTAGAGAAATAGATTTTAAATTTAGTAAGTTTGATATGTTACCAACCAACTGTATCACAAAATTTACAAGATATACTTAAACATTTTAGCAGTTCAAAAATATTTACTGAGTTTGTTTTTCAAATATAATTCCATAATTCTTTTATAAGAGTGGGAAAAAGTGAAATTTACTAGCCTATTATCAAAATACAAAATTATTCAACGTAACCTACAAAAGATAAATCTTCATTTTGTACTTAATTTTCTTGAAGCTTACTTTGAAAGGTTTATTTTCATCTTAATCTCAGAACCTTCCTATCATGTTAAGATATCAGTAAATTTTAATTTAGTAAAATATTAACTAACAGCTGGGAAAAAAAAGCCAAATTTGCTTGGCTGGTAGGCTCAGTGATTGAGCATCGACCTATGAACCAGGGAGGTCATGGTTTGATTCCTGGTCAGGGTATGTACCCAGGTTGTGGGCTCGATCCCCAGTAGAGGGCATGCAGGAGGCAGCCAATCCATGATCCACTCTCATCATTGATGTTTCTCTCCTCTTTTCTCCTCTCCCCTTCCCT